CTTCTGAAAACTCAGTCATTAAAACCATATCTTAGGTGGAATCCTGAGCCCATCCAGAACCTTCTGAGATGGGACATTCCCACTTGAAAGGACAAGCAGACTGCCTGGAATAGCTAGAGGAACAGAAGACATTTCTTGAAAGAAAGACCAGCAGGAAAAATCCAAAACAAAAATGACAGTCTGATTGGCTACTACAAGAACAAGCATGTTGTTCACTGGGGAGCCATCAAGGTAAGTAATCAAGTCCCTTCAGGACAAACCCCCGCCTCTAAGACTGAAACTCAAAGGGAACACATGAGCAGGCATGTAAGCTTGCTGGTGAGCATGATGGTATCCTAGTAAGAGGAAGAGGGGGATAGGCAGCAATGAAGAAATAGGCTGAATTCAACCACGTTCCATAGACTTCCGTTGACCTGGAGATGAGAGAGAGAAGAGGAGGGGGTTGGTTGTTCTGAAGTGTCGACTCCTGAACCCTTGAACAAGGACATAGCCAAAGAGGACTAGAGCTGAGAGTGAAGCTCCCAGTTGATGTAAAAAGTAAGGGGAGATAATGCCCAAAAAAGGAAACAAGTATAAATTGCTATAACTTGATGAACTTGATCTTTACTTATGGATGTAGTAGCTCAAAATACCAACTGAGAGGGAAGGAGTCCTCACATCCAAAATCAATCCTATCCTCTCTGTATACAGAGTTGATAGAGACAGGCAACATAGGCATTGGCTACCTAAAATGGGAGGGGCCATAAAGGCACGAAGTGACTGGCTTACAAATTTTCAAGAGGGAGTTTAGTTTCAGACTGTGTAGGGGAAGATAGAATCCCACTGAAGAGTTGTCATCTTGTCTGGACGGGTCTGGTGAAAGGATATAGGGATATGATTCTTATGATTCAATTGCTGTTGTTGTTAAGTGCCATCGAGTCGGTTCCAACCCATAGTGACCCTGTACAGGGTTTCCGAGGGTGTAAATCTTTACGGGAGTAGAAAGCCTCATCTTTCTCCCGAGTAATTATTATCATGACTAATTGTGACTGTCACAATTGTAAAGGTAGAAATTTTGTAACAAAAAGAGGGGAGTAGTTAATCTTACAGTCCAGGAACGGAGAACCCTAGGACCATCAAGGGAGAAGAGCATGAGCAGAATGTGGGACTCTATCCAGAGAAGCAGCAACACCAGAGATGGAGGCAGAGATGAGGATATGGAGAGAGGGAGCAGCTGAGGACTCTAGACTCATGGAAAGAGAAAGCTGTGTGCTGGCAGTAAGGTGCTGGCAGCCAGGAGGCAGGCTTGCAGAATGTATCCTTTGGTTGTTTAAATGATTATATATTCCTGAGTGTTTTTGTGTACATCCCCTCCCCACCCAAAAAAAAATAAAACCAGAATAGAAGCAAATACTGTTGAATGATGATACACAGAGGAGATTGTAATCATTGCAATGAAATGATGAGTGTAAAACTGATGTTACCCCATGTAAACTTCACTCAATTCACAATAAAAACTTTGAAAAAAAAACATATCTACTCTGACACACATAGGGTGGTCATAAGCCAGCATCAACTCAACGGCAATTAGTGGTGTAAATTATACTTTGAGGAGCATGCCAAAGAGTGGACAGGAGGACTGACCAGTACAGTTAGTCAGGGAGGGCTTCCTGGCTAAGGTGGTAGGTACTAGAGCAGAGAATAAGGGAGTCAGGAGTGTGTGGAGCAGGGAGAGACAGGCTCAGGAGCAGTGTTTGAGCAATGGAAGGGTCACTAGGTGTGGTCCAAGAGAAGCCAGCCTGGCTGGAGCTGTGAGGGAAACCTGGGGAATCTGGGGAATAAGCCCTGACCCACTCAGGGTCATGCTTAGAGATTCCTCCTTCCCCATCAAGGAGGCTGCACCTGAATTCAACTTCCTTCGGCTCTCCACCTGCCCATTCTGCAGGCCAGAATCCAACTTCCTGCAAATGCCGGCAGCTGGTATCCTCAGACACCTCCCTGCTCAGCTGGCAATGGCTTGCCAGAGTTTGGCTGCTGGTTCCCAGTAAACAAGGCCATACAGTACACATTTTAAAAGGCCAGGAGCAGAAGCAGATCCCTCCTGGGGCACCCAGTGTGTTCAGTAACCTGGTCCATGCACACAGCACTTGGTGCTTACGTTTCCCAACAAACCCTATTTCTTTTCCCATACCAGATGACACTGCAGTATTTTTCTTCACCCTTCTATCCTCCACATTGTTGTTGTTAAGTGCCAGCGAGTCAATTCTGACCCAGAGCGACCCTGTGCAGGGTTTCCAAGGAGCGGATCTTGTAGAGCAAGCTGACTTTGCAGTCCAGTGCATTAAACCACAGTACCACGGCAAGACTTCCCCACATTAGGCTTTTGTCTATGTCTTAAGTACGATAGAAAGTCAATAGATGATTAAGCATAGGGGTCTTGTGACGGGTTTTGTATTTCCAAACTCCTTTCTGGCTGCAGCATGAAGAATGGGTTGAAAGTAGAGGGACAGGAGAAAAATGAGGTGGCCACAGGGGTATGACAGAGTCCTGGTGTGGCACTGTGGGTCAATGTGCTAGACTGCAAACTTGGTTTGAACCACAAGGTCAGCGGTTCAAACTCACCGACAGCTCCTTGGAAACCCTATACAGGGTTGCTATGGGTTGGAACGGACTCCCGGGCACTTAACAGCAACAGTCCCATTTTCTATTCCTTAGCCCAGAGGCCAGCCTGACAAAGCAGGTACTAGCCAGGTGGGAACTTATAGGAATTTGAGGAGCCTCTCTCATTTGTCTCTGTGTTGAGATTCTTGGGTGCCACTTCCTTCTCTAGGAAAGGAGGAGCACCCTGAGCAAAGATTGGGAGGGTGACTGGGGAAGAGGACAGGGAAGGGGCTGGCATATCACTCCCCTCCAATCTGGTCTCAGGGTAAAACTCCCAGGAAAATGTCCCTAGAAGGCAAGCAGACCCCTCCCCAACAGCCTCCTGGAGCCCAGGAAACAACTGTGCACACCTTCCACCCTCTTCAGCTTTGGTGTTCGTCACTTCAGGAGAGAGGCAAGGGGGGCCCTGGGGTCTCTGCCACCACATATGTCTGCCGTCTGGGGCCAGGCCTGCATGTCAGAAAGTTCTCAGCTCTACGCCAGCTTTTGCATTTATTTTTCATCTTTATCCCATTGCAGTTGAAACCTCCCAGCTGCTCCTGGGAAACCCTATACAGAGTCGCTATAAGTCAAAACCCATTTGGTGGCACTTAACAGCAGCAACATCCCACTGCCATCAGCTCCTAGTGACCCCGTATAGGGTTTCCAAGGAGCAGCTGGTGGATTTGAACCACCAAACTTGCAGTTAACAGTCCAGTGCTTATCCTACAGCGCCACACCAGGACCCTCGATGACCCCGTTGTTGTTGTTATGTGCCGTGGAGTCGGTTCCGACTTATAGCAACTTTGCACAGGGTTTCTGAGGTTGTAAATCTTTAAGGAGCAGGAAGCCTCATCTGTCTCCCGCAGAACTGCAGGTATTATCAAACTGCTGACCTTGAGGTTCACAGCCCAACTGGTAAACATATGTCATTGTTGTTGTTGTTAGGTGCCATCGAGTCAGTACCGACCCATAGCGACCTTATGCACAGCGGAAGAAAATATTGCCCGATCCTAGGCCAACCTCACAGGACAGTGTAAAACTGCCCTGTAGGGTTTTCAAGACTGTAAATCTTTACAAGAGCAGACATCTTTCTCTGGAAGAGTCAAATCCTATCTTTTGGTGAGAAGCCAAGCGCTAACCACGGCATGACCAAAACACAAATCAAACACTCCACGATCTGCTCTCACTCTGACTACTATGTCCCTCTCAGTTTCTTCATCTGTGAAATGAGGTGAACAGCTTTGGTTCTGTGGAGGTTGTCTGTACAGATATGTGGGGGCTCACAGGCCAGGCACAAGAGGCAGGAAATGCCAAGAAAAGGGAGGCGCTGGGTTCAGACAGCACTGGGTGTTTGGGGCAGAAGCAGAAGTCGTTCATGAAGAGGTCAGGGAGGAAGAAGCGCCTGACAAGAAGGGAGGACCAAGTTTCTGCTCACTGTCGAGGGGCCTGAGCCAGCAGTCTCCCTTGAAACAACAAACTCACAAGCATACTCTTATGCTTACATGCATTCACTCACACACACACACACACACACACACACACACACGTTCCAGGAGCTCTGATAGCATAGTGCTTATGAGTAGAGCTGCCAACCTCAAAGTCAGCAGTTCAAAACTACCAGCAGTTCCATGGGAGAAAGATGTGGCATTCTGCTCTGGTAAAGATTTATAGCCTTGGAAACCCTGTGCAGGGAGTTGGAACCAACTCCATGGTACTTAACAACAACAACAGGGGCACACAAGGAGCTCTGGAAGCGTGGTGGTTACGAATCAGGCTGCTAACCTCAAGGTTGTTGTTGTTGTTGTTATGTGCCATCGAGTCGGTTCCGACCCATAGCGACCCTGTATAGGGTTTCCGAGGGTGTAAATCTTTACAGGAGTAGAAAGCCTCATCTTTCTCCCGCGGAGCACCTGGTAGTTTCGAACCGCTGACCTTAAGGTTCGCAGCCCGATTCGTATAGGCAGTTCAAAACTACCAGCTGTTTCACAGGATGAGGCTTTCTGCTCCCATAAAGATTGACAGCCTCGGAAACCCTGTACAGGGTCACTATGAGTCAGAACCAACTCTACAGTACTTAACAACAACAACAACATGTGCACACAACCAGGGACTGGCATCTGGGAATGTTGTAGCCACCAAGCAACTGGGCATGCGCAGCCCCCAGCTGTGCTATTTAAAGGTGAGGAGCACCCCTGTGGCTACAACTCTCCAGCTGTGACATTCACTGGTTTGCACTTCACTGGGTAGTAAGTGCAGCCATCAGTTCCAAGAGCTGCTCCAGGCAGGAGCGCTGAGAATGGGGACAACAGGAAGGCAGGACACAGCTAAAGTCCTTTGACTTCTCTGAGTGCTCCGAGAAAGGACCATCCCATGACAGGATGGACCTGCCTTGGGGGTTAAGAATTCCATCAGGCCCTGCTCAGGAGCCAAGCTGTGTGACCACCCCAGCCTCAGTCAGCAGCTGGACCAGCTCCCAGGCCAGCGTCTCCAGTCTGGATAAACTTCCTCCCAGCAGCCCCAAGGTAAGTCTGGGGTGAGTGTACACTCCCCACTTTACCCGGCTCACTCCTGGGGCAAACAGAGGCTTTGACTGGGAGGGAAAGAGTCTGCGCTCTTCTGTAGGCCCTAGGACACATTCCTGAACATCTCTGAGCCATGCTACATGAAGGGGATGGTAGAGGAGGGTGCAGGCCACCTCCTCCCCATGGAGAGTATTGAAAGGCCAGCCCTGAAGGACAAGAGCCTGGAATTGCCCAGACCTGCCCCCTTGGCTGTACCGAATCCTTGGGATGCCCCACCACATGGAGCCTTCTGGAAATGAAACAGGAGAGAAGTGTCCTTCGTGACATATGAAAAGGCTTCACAAAGTTTGTGGGGAAATGTAACTGAAGGATAATGGGATTTTTCTATCAACTTTTTGAAGCTCCCTTGTATATCATGAGCTGGACGTGTCCATCCTAGAGTGGGGTCTCTAGTGCCCTCTGCTCCATTATCCTAGCCAAGGTCCCATAACCCCTACCCCACCACGCACACTATGACTGGTGAGGACGGAGCGGAGCCAACACTCTTCCTGGGAGCTACCCTAGGGCCTGGACAGGATGGGAAGACTTGAGTAGCTATAGGGTGATACAGAGACCAGACATCTCATTCCCTTACAAGTAGATCATTTCATCCCTCTGTTGTAGCCTCATAGAGTCATAACTTGCTGTTTACAGTAACGACGTGGGAGGCATACACTTTCTTTATAAAAGGGGGTTCATTGAGAATTATTCCCTATTTCTATGCCAAATATCTGCAATGCAACTTCGCCTTTGAGGCTTAAGAGGGAGATGAGATTCCTGAGTAGAGGGGCCTACCCCGCTCTGTCCCTCCACTCCAGCTTCCCAAGAGACCTTGAAGATCATTGCTGCTGTCTAGGGCAGTTGGGATGGGACTCATACCTTGGGGAGGGACCAGCCTGAAAATTGGCTCTGTCTGCCCCAGGGAAAGATAGGGCTACCACAGCCATGGTCCTACATGCCAGGCACACATTTGTCTGTCCTTCTGACCTCCAGCCAGTGGACTGAACCACTCCTGGAAGCTGTCTCCGTCCGTGCCACTGGATGACAGCCTAGACTTGACTTCTGCTTTTCCATTCTGGCATGACCACTATGTGGGCAAGCAGCTTTACCACTCTGAGAACCCTGACTTTCTCAAATAGCTTGAAGATGACAGGGGATAAGGTGATGCCCTTGTTTCTGTCTCTTCACAGGCAGCCAGGACTCAGACTGCTGCCTGGGTCCCCTTCCCCACCGTCGATGTTCCGGACCACGTCCACTACACCCTGGGCACGGTGATCCTATTAGTGGGGCTCACTGGGATGCTGGGCAATCTGATCGTCATCTACACCTTCTGCAGGTGCCTGGTTCATAGGCTGGGGCCCGGGCTCAGAGCAAGGCAGAGCACAGAGCAGGAACCTGACGGCCAGGTCTAATGGGAAAGCCAGGCCAAGCCTTGACCCACAAACCCAGGGAAGGCAAGCTTGAATGGTACATACCATTAAGCCACAGACCCAAGACACCCAGCTCTCAGACCCAGACCATCCTCTCTCTACCTTGAAGAGCAGCCCCAGGCACTAGAACCCTGAGTACTCATGCCCCTTGGCAATCAACCATTTGTTATTGTTGTTGTTGTTAAGTGCCATCGAGTCAGTTCCAACCCATAGTGACCCTGTATAGGGTTTCCGAGGAGCAGCTGGTGAGCTTGAACCGCCAACCTTGCAGTTCAAATGGATTTGCAGTCTGGCGCATTAACCCATAGCCCCACACCCAGACTCCCATTAGGTCCCCCTTTTGTCTTGGCTCCCACAGCAGCCTGAATGGCTGAGACAGGCAAGTGGAGAAGGGAGCCTAAACCCCACCACCTACCAGTGCAATGGTTTGGGGTAGTCTTTTGTCCTCTTTGAGCTCACTTTTCTTGTTGGCAACACAGAGTTGCATATGATGTTCATGGTTAGTTCACATACGTGGATGGAGTTCATGCAACGATCAGGTAAGTTCATATACATGGAGTTGCATTTATGGTCAGGCAAGTTCAAGTACATGCAATGCCCTGCAAGTGAGTCTGAATCCTAGCCAGAACATTTAGTGAGTTTCATGATCTGGAGCAAGTTGTTTCACAAGGGGAGACTCGGAGTTCTTATCTGGAAAATGGGAACAACAGAATCTCCTTCTGGGGAAGATGTGACGATGGGTGATGAGAGGTAAGGTTTGTGAAAGGCTGGGCAGTGTGCAGGGCCCATTCTCTCCCTTCCACCTCCCTGAGGGTGCAGATTACAGAAACAGTTACACTGGGCCAGGTCAGGACCTTTGAGGAAGCGGGCTGAGGGTGGTGCCCAAGCAGGAGCGATACACGAGAAACACAAGGGAAGCAGAGTCTGGGTGCAATTCAGAGGAACCTAATGGAGAAGCCCCTGAGGAGACATTTGTCCAGACAATGTCCCAGGAAAGCAAGGGCTTTGTGCAAGGAGTGAGCATGCATCATGCCGAAGAAACCAAGAATGGACTCAGCCCAAGAAGCTGCGTCTGCGGGGCCTCACAGCAACTCCAGAGGGCACTGTGCTCTCATTTAATGCAGAGAGAGCTGCCCCTAGAAGACAAGGGGGGGGGGGGTGCTGTGGGGTGTCTCGCTCCCAGTACAGCTGGGCCCAAAGGCTGCTCAGATGGTACTTACTGACCAGAGAGATAGGTCCGTAACCCAATAGCTTATGCCTGCATACGTATCAATGCGCGTATGTGGGAATGTATACGTGTGTGTGCATGTGTGTGATTAGGGGGTTAGGGGAGCCCCCCCCCAGCAGAATTACACTTCCTAACAGTCTCTGGCCCTTTCCAGGAGCAGAGGCCTCCGGACACCTGCCAACATGTTCATTATCAACCTTGCTGTCAGTGACTTCCTCATGTCCTTCACCCAGGCCCCCGTCTTCTTCACCAGCAGCCTCTATAAGCGGTGGCTCTTTGGGGAGGCAGGTAGACACTCGGGACTCCCTCCTGCCAGAGGGAGGAGGAGGGTTGTGACCAGGGGATGCCCACAGTGGAGGAGGCCCAGATGAGGAGGTGATGTGCTCTTCCTGGACAGGGAGTGGATAGCTGCTCTCAATCACACAGTCAGAGAGCACTGGAAGGAAGACTCAGGTTCAAGTCCTGAAGCTTCTGCCAGCCCTGCCAGAGATGGAGAAAAGCCCAGGTCTGCTTTCTGAGGGGAAGACAGAAGCCTAACATGCTCTATCCCCATAGCCTTCCTCCCCTAAGTACTGGTGGGCACCCTCCTGAGGTCAGGGTGTTGTGTCCACAGGCTGCGAGTTCTATGCCTTCTGCGGGGCTCTCTTTGGCATCACCTCCATGATTACCCTTACTGTCATTGCCCTGGACCGCTACCTGGTGATCACACGCCCACTGGCCACCGTCGGTGTGGTATCCAAGAGGCGGGCGGTACTTGTCCTGCTGGGCGTCTGGCTCTATGCCCTGGGCTGGAGTCTGCCACCCTTCTTTGGCTGGAGTAAGTGGGCTTGTGGAAATGAGGGAGGGGTAGATAGGCTGGGACCGGCAAGTTCCAGAGGGATGTAAGTGGATTTGGGTCTCCCAGCTGGCAGGAGAGGGTAAGGGACGACTTGAACCTCGTAGACAATGAGGAACATAACTCCCAGCAAGAGTCAGCACTTCCAGGGACCAGAAGAGAAGGCCACATGCTGGGTTTGCCTTAAGTCAGACCAGGCAAAGCAATGGGGGTGAGGCCTCAGCAAACAGGAAGCTTGGTAACAGCAAAGAAGCAGCCCTCCTGGGCAGGAATTGGAAGCTGGTGGGAGCTCTGGGAAGTCAGATCTTGAGGCTGGGGTGAGGTCTCTGCTACGAACTATCAAGCAGTGGCGGCTGTGGGCTTTAGCCAGCTGTCTCTCAATCAGCAGCTGATGCCGCTGCCAGAGTGACTTAGGAAGCTCCCCTACCCATACCCCACCTGCCCTGAGCATCCTGACTGCACTGAACAGGGTGGGGCTGGGGCCACACACACAAAGCTCCTGGAACATGACAGACTGGAACCAGCGCTGAAGACCCAAGGGCCAACCCATTGAGCACCTGCTCTGCCTCCCAGGTGCCTATGTTCCCGACGGGCTACTGACATCCTGCTCCTGGGACTACATGAGCTTCACGCCCTCGGTCCGCGCCTATACCATGCTTCTCTTCTGCTCTGTGTTCTTCCTCCCCCTGCTTGTCATCATCTACTGCTACATCTTCATCTTTAGAGCCATCCGGGAGACAGGCCGGTAAGAACCAGGCTAAGAAGAGAGTTCGATGGGCAGATGAGAGCTGTACCCTTTCTGCCAAGGCTGCTATTGGGCACTCCCAGGAAGGCAAAGGCAAACTGATGTTCTTCTGAAGTGAGGTGAGGCCTAAAAGCCAGCACAAGGAACCTGAGTGCATCAAGAAGTCTGAGGGGAGGAACCTTAGGTTTAGGGACCACAGCTGAACCACAGGGAGCGATTCGGCTCCATATAATAGAGAACTTTCTCGGAGTCAGCAATGTCTGCACTGTAAAGGATGACTCCTTGTCCAGGGAGGCACCCCAACAGCAGTGACACACGTTGCTATGCAAGTGCAGTCAGACTCCGACTCTGCCCACCCTAGGTCTCTCCAGACCTTCGAAGCCTATGAGGGTTCAAGCGAATCCTCAAGACAGAGGCAGCAGCTGCAGAGTGAGTGGAAGATGGCCAAGATTGCATTGCTGATCATCTCGCTCTATGTGCTCTCCTGGGCCCCCTACTCCACTGTGGTCCTGGTGGCCTTTGCAGGGTGAGCAGTGGGTACGAAGCTAAGGCTGGGGCTGAAGGGAGGTTAAGGCAAGCTGGGCTCTTCCTTCCCAGGGCTAATTGTCCTCAACCTCAGTCTTGCCTCAGTCTTATTCTCTCCCTGGCATGTACTTCCCTACCCCAGGCAGGTCTGCTCAGTTCTTGGGTGCATCAGGACATATGTTTGGGGAGCTGATATGCAGACCATGGCCTATGAAGGTTGTCAGGCTCTGCGAAACCCCTTGGGGACACGCAGATCTCCCTGAGATTCCAGTTCTCTCTCTGCCTGAGTTGTGGGCGCAGAGCCAGGAGGGTTGAGTCTGGGGACTTAGAATTCTGCAGAAGAATGGGCCTCAGCTAGACTTCAGAAGAACTTTTGTGCAGGAATGGCCCTTCTGCTCTCTGGCCTTCCTATGAGAGAGCCAGGGGAGCAGGTGGGTGGGAGGGCTGAGGGGAACTGGGCAGAGGGCCTGAGATCCAGGGTTATACAAGTGATTGGGGGAAGATCATGCTGAGCCCTCACCTGGGTTGTTGCCAGCAGCACAAACTCCAAGAGACAATTGTTGTTGTTGTTAAGTACTGTGGAGTCGGTTCCGACTCACAATGACCCTGTGCAGGGTATCTGAGGCTGCAAATCTTTACGGAACTTGTCAAACCATGCCCCAAGTCTGATACTTCTTCCTCCCAAGGCCCCTTCCCAGGTTCCTAGTCACCTTTGTCTTTGTTTAACCTCAGGTCAGAATTCTTCCTGGCATAGCCAGTCTCCTCCATCTATGGAGCAAATGTAGACTAGGCTGAGCTGGGCTGAGCTGGGCTGGGCGGGGCTGCACTGGGCAGTTCCCCTGGTGGGACCTGACCCAGAGAACAAAATGTTCCTTGTGGGGATGGGGGCTGTGGAGGGGGTTGTGAGCCTCTGGGGTCAGCCACCCAGCAAAGGGGCTCATACCTTCTCTGTCCCAGGTACGCACATGTCCTGACACCCTACATGAATTCCGTGCCAGCTGTCATTGCCAAGGCCTCTGCCATCCACAATCCCATCATTTACGCCATCACCCATCCCAAGTACAGGTGCGGTCCTCCTCCTTCCAGAACCCCCAGCCCATTTCCCCCAGGCCCAACCTGATGATCCCGCAGGCGTGAGATCTGCAAATGGAGAGCTGAGACCAGCTATCTTTTCTCTTTCTTGAATGTGCGTTGTCTGGAGTATGGAGCTGGAATGACCCTGCCCTTGCCCCAACTTCCCTGGGCTCAGCTTGAAGGGATGCCAGGGTTCCCTGGGCAGTATACCATCCTAACTGTGCAAACTTAGGAGCTGGCACTGGCAGATCAGTAGCGCTGCCACCTGGAAGCAACCCAGCAGTGTGTCCTGGAGAGAACACAACAGGGGAAGCACTCAATCTGCATAAAGAACCCTGGTGGAGGACTGGGGAGGTGACTTCAGTGCTTCCCTTGGCCTGGAGGTGTCAGTCGTTCGCTGCCCAGCCTGAGCCAGCCCAGCGAGAGGCTGCTCAGATGTGTCCCTGGCCCCAGTTCACAGGGATGAGGCTTGACCCAGCCACATGAGAGACTGCTGATTTCTGCCCAGCTGACCACTACCTTAAAGCTCTCCCTCTATCCCCACCACAGTCTGTGAGTCTGTCAGGCTCCTTCATTCCAGCATCTGTCTCTCCTCCATCATCACCACCAATGACTCAAAGTGTCTGTCTGTCCATCCTCATCATCCCCACATCTGTCTGTTCTCAGAACCCCAATGTCTGAGCCTTCCCATTTCCTCAGTAACTCTCTGTCCACCCCCATTAGCCTGGTTTCAGTATGTCCATCCCTTACCATCACCCTCTGTGTCTGTTTGTCCACCTCCTCCTCTGCCCTAACCAGAATGGCCATCGCCCAACACCTACCCTGCCTGGGGACGCTGCTGGGTGTGTCAGGCCAGCACGCCCACCCTTACACCAGCTGCCGCTCCACTCGCCATTCCACCCTGAGCAGCCAGGCCTCTTACCTCAGCTGGATCTCCCGACACAGACGCCAGGCATCCTTGAGTTCTGAGAGTGACAGGGTAAGGCTCTTGGGGCTTCTGCTGGCTGGCAGCTGGTCATCCTTCCCTCTGTTAGATCAGCCTCAGTGCTGGGATGCCTCTGAAATTCAGCGTTGGGATACTCAGGACCCTAGACTGTGGCAGTAAGAGCTGCCCACAACTCCCTACCCATAGCTTTCTCATGTATCCTCCTCACCTATAGGCAGGACTCTGGAGCCCTAAAGGGCAATGGGATCACCTGAGGTCCCCACCATCAGGCTAGGGTTGAATATAGGTATCCCAATGCCAGACCATATCCTTTCCAAAGCAAACACTGCACCAATGGCTTAGTGCCATAGACAGGCCTGTCCCCTCAGCACTGAACCTCTCTCTTTCTGGGAGCCTCCAGAGGTTCACAGAAGACAGCAGAAGGGGCAGTGACCTGGGAGTCAGAGACCTGGGTTCCTGCTCTCACTTAGTATGTGAGCTTGGATTCATCCTCTGAGCCTCTGAGTCCACCTCTGAAAACGAAAAACAGTCATGTCTCCATGTAAGACTGGGTAGGAGAGAGTGAGTGTGCCCAGGCTTGGGAGCTAACCCCCCTGGATTTCTGTCATCCCTGAAAGCCTCCTTAGTCCTGGGGCCTGCGGAAGGCTCCCTTCACCTCAGGCTCCTACCCCAGCCTCACTCAGGAACCTCTGTTCTGCCTACAGGGACCTGGCTGATCCCCACCCTGAGGGTCCCAGCTGAGGGAGGCGCAATCAGGGATTCACTTCTTTAAACCACAGTAGTACACTTTATGGAGTGAATCTTACCTGTTAGCCAGTGCTTAGATCCTCATGAAGAAGAATGCAAGATATCAGAATACCCACATTTACGAAGACATACAGCATACTTTCTCTCACACGTACACACTGTCTCTCTCACACACGCTTCCAATCTCGCACAGGTACCTTCTGTAACACACACATTTTCTCGCTCTCTCTCTCTCTCACACACACATATCCACACAATTGGCAGGGATTTGGTAGCTATCAGCCCTGTACACTGTGTCATGGCCTCACCATTAGCCATAAGGAGCATGGAAAAGATTTTGGGGAGGGGGACAAGGACAAAAGCAACACTATGGCATACCCTTCCCCTCACAGTGACTCTCTGACCTACCCAGGGCTGGACAGACACAGAGGCAGCAGCTGCAGGTGGAAGTGTCCAGCAAGTGAGCAGGTTCCCCTGCCATCAGGAGCTAGAGAACATGGAAGACAACACCCCTCCCAGGCCCCAAAGATGGGAAACAGAGACTCCCAGGAAGGTGATTATGCTTGACCTGCCAATGGGTAAAGGGGTGGGAAGAATGGGCAATTGGCCCAGAGAACTGCCAGGAAATGGGCAGCTTATTTTCAAAGGCAGGCCCAGTGTCCGCTGAAAATTACCCCCTCCTTAGACCTCTCAGCTTTCCCTTGACTGGTTGGGGTCTCGTGGGGCTTGTGCAGAGCCTGTGTGTATCTGTGTGTGGTTATGTGGTGTGACTGCATGTGTGTAGCAGGTGTCGTTGCTGACCTCACTGTACTTATGACAAACGTATGGCATGGACATAAGTATACCTCCGTGTGACTCTGAGTTAACGTGACACCTCAGGACATGTGGCTAAGCGTGCCACCATTGGTCTGCTCGGAACTGGGTGTGTTACAAAGGTCTCTGTGTAGACATACCTGGTAGGGTGTCCCAGTGGTGAGGAGAGGAGATATGTATGCTGTATATGAACTCAATATAAATGCCCCAAGATCGTGATGTCAGCCAGAATGCTTGTGGCTATTAAAAGAAGGCCAGCTGTTGGACCAAGTGCCTATGGAACGGAATGTCGATGGCAATTAGAGTAGGCGAGATTCTGGAAATACTGTGTGCATAGGCCCTCAGGCCTGACCTCCCCCCTCAGCTGACAACTCCAGCCCTGCCCGTCCACTCACACCCACGAAACACTCTGTGTCCTCGGGCCCATCTAACCCAGCTCCTAGACTCTCTAGAATTCCCCAGCAAGCCAGGAATACAGACACGTTTCTACCCTCATTCTCCTAAAGCCACTACCAGTAGAGCAGGCACCACCCCTCAATGCGGAACCTCTGCCTCCCCCCACCCACCCACTCCCGTGCATTTCCATCCTGGGGAGTCCCAGAGGGGATTCATTCCTCATCCCTGAGCCCTGAGCCCTGATGACAGCCTGGCAGCCACACGCAGGCTCGCCAGGGCTGCAAGGAAAGTCACCGTGCCTGTCCCAGAGGAAGTCCTGGGCTGGGGAGGGGCTTAGTGTGGTGACAGAACATCAACTGTCACCCACTGTGTGTGATACGCACTGCCATGGAGGTCTAGGCACACATGATGCTAGACACAGGGTTAAGTCCCCAGGGAAGACCTCACAGGGACAGTGAAGGTGAGATAGATTGCCAGTGTGGGTGGAACAGAAGGAGATGAATGTTCCGAGCCGAAGACACAGCCTGTGCAAACTCAGGAAGGCATAAAGGAGCTCAATGTCCTGGGACATGATGTGATTTTGTGACCCTGAGAACAGCAATGGGAACACAGAGGGCAGGGAGGAGAAACAGGAGTTGGTGGTACTGTGGGGAGCCTGGTGTCCCAGGATTTCAGATGTTGGTTTCAGAGGTCTCCAGGGCCCCTGAGGTGGTTTAAGTGGGGCACAGCATGACCAGCCTTCGCTTTACAGGGCTGGGTTGAATGGAATGAGCCTGCTGGGAGAAGACTGGAAGAAACTGGTGCTGTCAGGCAGCAGGACAGAGGAGGGGTGGAGAGGGAGTGAGGAATGTGGGAGGTAAGGACAAGGAAGGAGTGTGGGAGGCCCGGCGGGCACTGAGGTGGAGACTCTGGGGAAGAGTAGCAGGGGAGCCTTAGACATTCCTGACTAGAGCTCAGAAGAGAGGCCCCAGCTGTGGGATCCATCATCAGATGGCCTGCAATCTCAGGGGAAATCCACCCCAACCCAGGACACCATCTGGCCCTTGTGTGCCAACCTCCCCTCACCACTTGATGACCTCAAACATAGAAGTTCCTTGGGACACTGCTCTTACTGGGATAGTCCCCAAGCTAAATTAATGTGTCCTGTTGATTTTCAGACCAAGGAGCTGCCACCCAGCCTGGACTAGTGACTCTCCTTTTCTTCTGGGACACATTCAGCTCCTCACATCGCTCTCCCCCACACAGACCCGGATAGCCCTGACAGCCTGCAGCCATGTCACCCAAGGTGCCCTGCACTCATGGTTGCAGTCACACCCTCTCCCTACAGCACCAAATAAATGCCTGCTCCTGTGAAGTCAGTCCGTCTCGACGTCTATTCCTCATGTCAACTGCCAACATTGTCAGTTCAGCCAGAAGAGCGAGCCCTCACCTCCACACTCACCTTGAGCATCTGCACTTCCTCAAGTACTGTGTGCTGCAATTGTTCATGCAATGACAATGGTGATGGCTGCAGGGGACACCAGCTGTTTATGAGCCAGGCCCTGCACCCAGACTGGGTGCTCTGCTGGCACGGGAAGGCTAGTTGCCTCTTTCTGCCTGCATTCAAAGTTGAGCAGAGATAGCGTTCTGTGTACTGGAGACTGTGGATCACCCCTGACCTCTTCTTAAAGCACTGTCCAGGGTGCACTCTTCTCTGCACCCACACTTATGCACACAAACACTCCCCTATGCACACACACCTGCATGTACACTGAGCATGTGGGCACACACAGCCTCTAGCCTGTTTTCAAGTGGTGGTCCAAGTTTATCTCAGGGTTGCAAGACTCTGACAGGGGTAGGAAAATAAAATAAGCAAAGGTCTTGAACAAATGTGGTCTCTACCTATTGGTGCTGTGATGGGAGAGTGAGTCTGGGGCAGCCTTGGATGCTGCCAGCTATTTCTCTGCCTCCTCCCCTGTTCTCCCAACCTGACCTGTTCTCACTCCTGAAGTCCCATCTCCAAGAGCATGGGGGAGAGCAGAGAAGGGGTAGAAATCCCTCCCCAGCAAGCTGCTGCATTCAAGAAGCAGGTACCCAGCCTGTGGGTACCAGCTGATCTCACTGCCTTTGGGTCTCCCAAGGGAGACAGATGTGAGGAGGCTGGCTTTTCCCTTTCAGAGAACCCTCCCCAAGATTCTTCCCTTTCTTTCCCCTGAGGTCAGCATCCTGCAGTGCTTAAGTCTAAAGAAAGAGCCTGCAACATCAGGTACTACAGCTGAGCCCATTGCTACCCCTCCCTGTGCATAATCTGTGCCTTCCAGTCCTCACATTGCTCAGGGCCCTGCTGCTGGGTCCTCTAGGAAAGGGGATAAGGCTGATATTAAGGATGGGATGGGATGAGATGTGGGACACGGAATGGTATGGAAAAGGAATGGGGTCTTGGCCAGGAGCTGCTGACCTCCCAGGACAGATCAAGGCTGGCAGCTGGGTGGGAAGTAGGTAAGTGGGGAGGAGGGTTATAGACTGGGAAAAGAGGCGGGAGGTGGTGGAATGAATAAACACTGGTCCCTGCCTGGCTTCTTCCACTGGATATTCTTGTAAATGTGGGCAAGTTATAGAGAGTCCTGGGTGGCAAATGGTTAAATGCTGGGCTACTAACCAAAAAGTTGATGGTTCAAACCCATCCTAAGGCATCTACTTCCAAACATTTACAACCAAGAAAACCCTATGGAGGGCAGTTCTACTCTGACACATGGAGTTGCCATGATTTAGAACGGATTCAACTGCAACTGATTAACGGCAGCACGTGACCAAACTGCCCTGGAATATGCGGACCTAGACTGCTAACTACAAGGTCAGCAGTCTAAACCCAGCAGCTGCTCCAGGGAGAAGGATGAGGTTTTCTGCTCCCATAAAGGTTTACAGCCTCAGAAACCCTCTACAGGGTGGCTATGAGTTGGAATTGACTTGACGGCACCAAGTTGAGTTTTTTGAGGGGACTGCCAGTGAGTGGTGTCTATTTGCCATCAAACTTTCCATCGCCAGCTAAGAGAGAGAATTCAGCAAGTTACAACTAACTGCCATAGATGCTGTTTTCCATAGATACTCCTCTGGTGTCAGATGCAGGATGTGTAGCTGGAGATGCTGGCAGCTGGGAAACTACTCACACCCAAGCCTCCTCTGAGTCCTCAGCACCCAGCCCTGGTCAGGGCCAGAAAGCAACCTCACCCAGTAGCCCTCCCTCAGCCTCAGTTTCCCAAGCCAGACACCACATGGAGCCTGGCATCCATCCTGGGGAAACCTTGGCCCACAATGGCAGGAAGTGATCATGAGTCCTAAGGGGACTGGACTCCCACCCAGAACACACGTTTTCTCTGGGGTCAGGGCTGAACACACCACACATGGCTCCCGGTCCCTTCCCTTTCTGGCTCCAGATCCCAGTAGCTGAGTAAATGGCATTTCCTCCCTCCCCGTTGCCCCTGCCATTCTACCACAAAGGGCACGGGCCTGGCAGTGACAGATGCAGCTGGAGCTTTGCTTGCTACTGTCAAGTTTTCCAGAGCACAAGTGAGTTAGGAGAGCCAGGAATAACTGCTAGGCCCCCAGAGGACGTTGGGAGCATGGGCTTGGCCCAGAACTTGCCTTCAGGCCCATACCAAGGGGTACGGGCACGGGTCCAGTCCCATAAGCCAAGGCTTCAGGAGGCACCTGTGGCCCCATGCAATTCCCCCACCCTCCAGGAGCCATTATCTGGAGTGTCTTAGAATGAGCCCAGACTACAGAGTACCCTAAGTCTCCCCACTATGGAATCTTGGAAAAGTCATGTCTTCAGGCTTTCTGAGCCAAGGGTCCTATTGGCAAGGTGGGAGCCTTTCCAGACCCAAGGGGACAAGGGCATGGAGGGGCCAATGTTGAGCAACCCAGGCCAGTTCACCAGTCTCCTTTGCTGAAATGCTGTCCCAACCAGCTGGGGACTCAGCCCAGTCCTCACATCACAGGATCCCTACCTGAGTCCTCACCAGGGGCACAGGGCAGCCAAGACCCCAGCCAAGAGACCCAAGGGAAGGACACTCACCCTGTCTTTCTGAGCCCCCAGTGTTGTGTGAGGGGGATGCTGAAGCTCAGCAGAGTGAGGCTGGGCTCCCCAGAGGGACAAATGAAAGCAGAATGCCCAGAGCAAGAGGTGATGGCCTTATCACCAAGCTGACCAAAGCCCTCGTCCTGCCCTCCCCAGGGGCTATATTAGCTGTGTGAGTCACAGTGGACACGGATGGGAGGCCACAGGCGGGCGGGTGCAGTGTAGGGTTACAGCCCATTTATGGGCGCAGCCGAGGCCAGATATCAGTGTCCATGACATTTGCTCAGCTATTCTTAGGAGGCTCTCAGGAGCTCCACACAGCCCCGCCAGGCAGCAGGGACGAGCAGGCAAGGCTGGGTGGTGGGGCCCGGAGCAGAGGTGGGCTGCCGGTGGAGGGTGCATAAGGCTCTGTCTTACCTGTCTCTCTCTCTCTCTCTCAGCAGAGGCCGAAGCTGTCAACTCAAGCATGTCTTACAGTGTGACCCTGACTGGGCCCGGACCCTGGGGCTTCCGTCTGCAGGGGGGCAAGGACTTCAACATGCCGCTCACCATCTCCCGGGTGAGTGTGCACTGTCCACAACCTGGCCCCAGGAGGAGTGATTCAAGGAGGGGAAGTGTGTGTCCCTTCCATCTGTCCCTCTGAGGCTCCAGGAAAGCAGAACATGCCCTATCCTCAGTCTAGTGGCCGGGACTAAACTTGCTTGATACTGCCAGCCTCAGGTGACTTGTTTCAGCCACAGCTGTTAGGCCAGCCACTTAGGAGTAGGAAATGTCATGGGCAGATGGCGGGTATTTTGAGGAGAGAAGGAAATGCTGAGTTTGCAGAGAGTATGGTGTCTTCCTGAGCCCTTCTAAGTGGGGTGGTCTCTGAGTGTCCCCATGCCTGGAATATCTCCCTTGAAGTGGGCAGCTACTGTGGGGACAGAACATTGCTGCCTGGAGAGGTCACTAACTGTCAAGTGAGCGGATAGATGGACAGACGGACTTGCACTTGCTGCCTGTGCCACAGAGCAGAACCAGACTGATTCCAGGGCTCCAGCAGCTGCTCTGTCCCAGACCCAAGACCCCAGCTTCCTCCAGGGACCATGCACTGGTGGCCTAATGGGCTGGACCTCCTCACTGACCAGGCTCCTTCCCTGCCTGTGTTGTTGCCTGTCTCGCTTCATGCCCCCATGCTGCCCTGTCCCACCATGTCTGCAGTCAGGGAGCAGCAATGCCTGGAGGGAAATGTCATCCCACAGTAGGGTCCACCTAAGTGATTCCCATCACCCAGCAGAAGCCACTGGGGCCCAGAGAGCCATAAGCTCGAATGTGCTCAAGAGTAAGCTATCCTGAGTAGGGACTTATTTTCATCTTTGCTATGTCCCCAGCACCTAATAAGACGTCTAAAACATTGTTGTGTCGGTTCCAACTCATAGCGGCCCTGCCAGAGTTTACGAGGAGGGCCCAGTGAGTTTGAACCACTGAGTTTGCAGTTCAAACCGACCTTGCGGTCCAGTGCTTATCCTACTGCACCATACCAGGACTCCATAGTGGGTGATCGATAAATTCATGCTAAGTAAAGGGACTCCCAGCGAGTCCGTGGCAGAGCTAGGCTGAAGGCACCAAGGCTCAGGCTGGGTGGTAAAGTGTGCGAGAGGCTAGGACAACCCCTGCTTGGTTGGGCAAAATGGAAGCTAAGAAGAGGGGCAGGATGAGGCCCCACACTGTGACTGGAGGCTGGTGGTTGCCTACTCGGGGCATTGAGTGTCTTTGCCAAAGCAGCAGAGACTTGCTTTGGGCAGGGATGGGGGAAGCACTCGGGGCAGGTTGGAAAGGTGCTGGTGGAGATGCAAGGAGCCTGGGCGGGCTTGCAGAAAGTCTCCCCACTGGAAGAATAGTCTTAATTCTTGAAACCACATGGGCATTTGAGGGAACCTTATAAAGGAGGAGCCTCACTTAAGGTGCCATGGGAGACATGAAACAGCCATAGAGGCCACATTCTTCCAGGATGGAGCTGCTGACCTGACTGGTCTAGCGGGGAGGTCTTGCCCTTTATCCTTTGCTGGAGCTCCAGCTCATTCCATCTCAAAGTCCCCACCCTTCCAGCCTACTGCCCTGGAGACTGCAGACCTGCACTAAAGGAAATCCCAACACCTTGTATACCTCTTCTGGAGATATGTGGGCACTTGAGCCCCAGTAGAAACTGTCCACCCAGGCCTCTACATAGCTACCTCCCATGGCTGTAGGTCTTCACACTGACTCTCAGGTCGCAGGTCTCCCACACCTGGGATTGAAGCCAGGTTTCCTCCAACTACCCCATCCTCAAGGCCTCCTGTTGGTGCTCCCTGCTCTATCCCTGGGAACAGAAATTAGCTCTCTCAGTTGAGTGGCACCCAGGATAGCCAATGACTTCACCCAGGGTCTATGTGCCACCTGGCCTTAGCCAATCAAGGGCTTAAACTGCAACACAGAGGCCTTGGGCTAGGCAGCGGGAGGAATGTCCTCCCTTCAGGGATATACTGGAGCCAGGCCTTTTAAAAATAGAACCTGCTGTTCAGGCAGGGCATCAGGGGATGAACCTAATGGCTACTGGCTCCCTTCTGGACACAGCCGAAGTCACCAAAGCCATGAACCATGCTGGGATGAGTGCTGAGGCTCAGAGCTCTTGATAATGACTTGGAAAACGGTGTCCCAAACTCGGTGCCTTTTTTTCATAAGGGATGGTCACATTGCCCCTCCACCCACCTGGGTTGTGAGTTCTTGCTAGGGTTCTCAAGGCCCTTCTACAGCAAAATCACACCCCCCAAGTGGGTGCAGAGCCACTGGCTCCAGAGGACCCCCATTCCTACCCAGACTCACCCACTTCCCACCCTGTGCCAAGGGCAGGACACAACTGAGGCACCGTAACTGAGCCTTTGATACAAGCTCTGGTGGAAGCTGTTGCTGTCCCACATTAGCGAAGGGAAAACTTGGTTCTCAATGGGGCTGGCAGCCCCTTCACACATTCCAGGGGATGGCCATGCAGGCAGAACTGGGACAATCCGTACTTCAGAGCCAGGTAAACGGGGACCCACATTTGCTATGAGATGGAGACTGCATGAGGTGGAACGTCTGTGTCCTCAGGAAGCCCCTAGCTCACACTACACCTACCCTCATCGCCCTCTGATGTTGACCAATGGACTGGAGAAATGCTCCCCCACCTCTCTACCCCCAGTTAGCTGCAGGTTTTTCCTATAAGAAAGTCCACCCCTCTGCCTACCCAGAGCTAGACTGTACCTCCCTATCCCCGCCTTCCTTCCCATCCACTGGCCCCCACTTGGGCAGAAACAGCCCCTCAGGTCCTCCCAGAAAGACCTGTCCTTGAGTGATTCACAGCCTGAAGGCTCACTGAAAGAGGGTTCAGATGGAAACTAGAGGGTGGAGAGAAAATGCCTTTCATTATCCCAGACAGGTGCACTGAGGCTTGTAACAGGAGCTGCCCTCTCACCCCACCCACCCAGCCCGGCTCCAGGAAATGGGGAGAGAGCCGTTCAAAGGCTCACCCCCACCCCTAGCCTAGCAGCTTGGCCAGAACTAGGTCTCTTTCCTGCTCTATTTGGTTCCCTTTTGTCCAGGGCTCCCATCATTGCAAGGTCCCCCATCCTGGACCCTCCCCTTCACAAACATAGCTTCTCTGCCCCTCCAGAGCTAACCTGGCCCCCACTTCTCATGGGACCCATTCTAGGAGGTATTGAGTGTGATGTGCCCAGGAGAGAGGTCTAGGGCATGGTCATCTAGAGAAGTGGGCACAGGGCTTCAAAGCAGTTCATTCAGGTCCAACCCCCGGGTGCGAAATTTCATTTCTGCCACAGATAGACGGAATGTATCAAGATCCCCCTAAGGGTGGATTCTAATTCCATCTATTATCTAGAATGGAAATACAAATTCTCCAGGAAAGACCAGGGCCTGGGTCTCGCCCCACTGTATCTTGTTATTGACCAGACTTTACAGGGCTTTTATAGGGCTCTGCCACTCGCAACTGTGCACCTTTAGGAAAATCAGCTAGCCTCTCTGCGTCTGTTTTCACACCTGTAAAATGGCATAATGGCTTCATCAAAGCATGGCATGTGTGTGGAAGTGCTTCCCAACAGGTTCTTGTGAAAGTACAATCCACCTGTTCTCCAGTAAGGGATGGTTAGGAGGCTGGGGAATTGTGGTACAACTCTGAGCCCAGGAAGGGCCTACTTCTCTGTTTGATGGGCCCCATCCCTTAGGACTTCCCCTCCACCAGCCTCAGAGGCCTGCCTGAGGTACCAGCCTAGAGACCTCTGCCCTTCAGTGGTTGGCTATTTATCAGATTTTCCCAGCCACAGTGGAGATGTTGAGGACAAAGGGTCCCCAAGGAGGGATGGGGGACAGATTGAGACTATTCTGGGGCCACTGTGCCAGCAATTCCTGGAATTTCGAGGCCACTAGAGCATAACGTGCTGTTTTGTGGGCAGCACATAGCAGTGCTGACAGACTGTGCTGTTTATAGCTGCGTTGAAGGTCAGGCGAGCTTCCGAGGGCTTCTGTAGACTGGGTCATCCCTGACTGAGGTTTCTCAGACCAGGCCCTCTCCTCCCACTTTTCCTTTCCTGGAACTCAGAGCTGATGCTGACCCTGGGGAGAGTTCTGACTGGGTCCTGGGAATGAGCTGAGAATAGTTCTTCAATGTGGGAGGGTCGCCCTCAACTCCCTGGGTCTTCTTCCCTCTCTTTGGTTCCCTTTCATTTGGTACGCCCATGAATGCAAAGGCCCTCCAACCTGGACCCTTCCTTTCACAAACACAGCTTCTCTGCCCCTCCAAAGCCAGACTGGCCCCCGCCTCTCTTGGGACCCTTTCTAGGAAGTATGAGTTGTGCCCATGGTCTCTGATGCCATTAAGTGTGATGGTCCCACCAGACTGGTGTCCAGGACAAAGATGGAGCTATGGGTAGAAGAAGAGGGAGAGAGACTGGGATAGCGAAAACTTGGGGAAAGAGAAAGCTTCCAGAATGGCATGGTCATCTAGAAGAGTGGGTAGTGACCCTCAGCTATAGGCATAGGGAAGCAGAGCTTCAAACCAGTTCATTCAGGTTCAACCCTCTGGTGCAAATTTTCATTCCTACAACTCCAAATAGAATGAATCAGAATCTATCCTTTAACAAGATCCCCAGGTGATTGTTAGGGTGATCTTGTTAAAATGTAGATTCTGATTCAGTCTATCTGAAATGGAAATACAAATTCCCAGCAGTGAGGAAAACTGGAATGAATAAATTCAAAGTCCTACAGCAAAGCCATTAGCATGAAGAGGCCTTGGGCTGCTAACCTCAATTTCAGCAGTTCAAAACTACCAGTGGTTCTGCCAGAGAATGATGTGGCTTTCTGCTCCCGTAAAGATTTATAGCTTTAGAAGCCCTATACAGGATCATTACGGGTTGGAACCAACTCCACAGCACACGACCACCACCAGCAAGTCAGACAGTTGGAGTCCTGGTTTGGCGCTGTGGATTAATGAGCTGGACTGCAAGGTCTGTTTGAACCTCAAGGTCGGCGGTTCAAGCTCACCAGTCACTCCTCTGAAACCCTATACAGGGTTGCTGTGAGTCAGAATCAACTTAACAGCACTTAACAAGCCTGACAGTTGAGGGAGGACCAGCTGGTGACTTCTTGGAGACGTCAGGGAATGGAGAAAGGGAGAGAAACACGGCTGAAGCAGCAAAGATAGGACAGGCTTTTGATATAGAAGAAAACGTGACTTGTTTATCTGATTTGATGGGGATAGAGAGTGAGACAATAAGACGACAGAAGGCTGAGTTAGAGGGTGAGCGATGGAGCAAGGTCCCAGGGGAGGCCAGATGGGAAGGCAGCAAGCACAGTGGTGTGTGGTAATTTAATCACTCAATAAAATACATTTCTACCTCCAGCTCCCGGGGGGGTGGGGGGGTGGGTTGGTGGGAATACCTGGAAGCCACACTCTTCGTAAGCATTCACTACGGTTCTCCCCATCCTCCTACTCTGGTCTCTCGAGGGGAAGGAATATCTTTCTGGCCTGGATTATTGGCCCCAAGACCCCAAAGGGGGATTCACAGAGCCCCACTCCCTTCCTGCTACCAAAGGAATGAGGAAATACAAGAGAACTTCTAAACGTTTGTGGGAAATTGTCATTATCTTTTCATTCCGTTTTTCCATGAACCTTTTTCAATTCCCTTCATAGAAGCCGATGACACGGTGTACCTGGAGCAGGTATCTAATTTCCCTCCACCATGATGCCCAGGCCCTTTGGGGAACCCCAGCCTCTGTCAACACCAGAGGACATGGCCTGCCAGCTTCATTCAGTCCCTGTGGCACTCACTGGGAAGGCGCCAGGATTAGCATCTACATTAAGGGCCTCTTTGGTTTAGAACTTTCCTGAAATTTTCTCAGCTCTGCCCCCTTCCTTACATAATCTGTATTTAATAACATAATCCCCACAGTCATCCAAGAGAAAGGTATTGTCTCTCTATTTTATACTCAAGGATATGGAAGCTGAAACCAGAACCCACATGTGGCTCACACCAAAATTCATAATCTTGCTATTTGCTACCTGCCTCCCAACACCCTCAGGTGTCTTTGGCTTCTGCTGCTCCCTGGCACCCAGACATTCCTGTGCTCCCCCTGCAGGATGTCCTGAGACCACAGCTCAGCAAGGTGGAGGGTCTTCTTCAGGCCAGGAGGCTGAGTCTGTCCTGGGAAGATGGGACATCAGGGGTCCCTGGGCTGTGCCAGAGTGGACTCTTCCCCAGTGATGACTGAAGAAGACTTAAAAGTAAAATGGGAAGAAAACTTCACAAAAATAATAGTTTCTAAATGCTCAGGAGGAGATAGAATTTAAAAAATAAAAATAAAAAAGAGAGGGATCAGATGAGATAGAATTAAAAAAATAAAAATAAAAAAGAGAGGGATCAGATGTAACCACTTGTGTCCTTTCTGGAAGGACCCCTGGTGATGCTGCAGGATAAGTACTGGACTACTACGACCCACAAGGCCAGAAGTTCAAACCCACCAGACATTCCATGGGAGAAAGATGAGACTTTCTGCTCCCATAAGGATTTACAGACTCAGAAACTCTATACAGGGTTGCTATGAGTAGGAACCGACTCTATGGTAGTGAGTTTAGTTTGAGTTTTGGTCCTTGGTAAGGTAAGGAGAAAGAGGGTCAGATGAGACACTTGGGTACATCATCACTGTACTGATCCTCTCAAGGGGCTTGGACTCTGGACACACTGGTCCTGCTCTGGGAGACGGGATCTGAAGGTTCTTGGCCCGAACTATTGAGCAGCCTCATTGGGGCCCCTGCCTCCTGCTATAAGGAGATCTGAACAGAATTAGAAGAGTCCATCCCTGAAAGAGGATACCAGCATCCCTGCCTCCACATCAGGGATCTTGGGTCCTGCCCAGGACAGTCAATGACCTGAGCCAGCTGAGCGCTGATGAACAGAGACAGGTGCAGGGAGTGCCTACCAGGGCTGGTGTGGAGGCTCCCCATTGGGGTATTTGGGTGCTGACCAGGCCCATGGGAAGCTGAATTCTTCCCCCAAATGCAGAATCACCACAGCTAAGAGCTGAGAATAAGGGGGTGCAAGGCAGGAGCAGCAGGGGAAAGAGCCAGAGGTTTAGCAGGAAGCACTGGCGTTAAGCTGCACACCTACAGGAGAGAGATCCCCAGCGAAGACATTTCAGGTGTCCTCCTGCACTTGCTCTAGCAGATCTGGCCCAAGTCTCCCTTGGATGTCATTCTAGTGTCCTTGCTCACGGCATCATCCACGATCTTCTGGGTACAACCTCTGTCCTGCCTGGAGGACAGCACCCCTGTAGGCCACAAGCCCCACCAAGACCTTCTGTCTTAGGTCTGCAGCTGCCCTCCCCACACCCAGAAGTTCCCTGCTTCAGGGTGATTGATGTTCCCTGCTCTACAAATAGAAGCATCTTGGGGGATCCCTGCTCAGGGGGAGCGCTGCAGACAGTCCAGCAGGACAATAGAGACATTACAAAATTTTCCTTGGATGAAAGCCTATTGGTATCTGCAAGGTTCTTTAAAATGCTTCAAAAATAAAATGGATGAATGGATGAAAAGATGTGGGGATAGATGTGTGAGAAAGCAAATACAGCAAAGTATTATAGTTGAATCATGGTGGTAGGAATTTGGGTGTCTGTTGTAAAATTCTTTCAGCTTTTTTTTTTTTAGCTTGAAAATGTCTATAATGAAATGTTGGAAATAACATAGCCTTGAATATAAAGCCAGAAGGTAAAAGGAAAGCTAATTTTCTGCTGGGTAGGCTAGTTGGGCATCTCAAATTGCCTTCAAGAAAAGTGTCTTGTTTTGTTCTTAACACTTTGTTTAATGCCTACACTGAGATGAACTAATACACTTCTGTCATTAGTAAAGGCTCTCTGTGGCAATGAATCATGGGTATGAGCTATGTGTATTTTGACAAGTTCCAAGTAGTTCTAAGGTAACCTTCTATAAGCCTGGGGAACATACTGGACTCTTCAAACCAAATGATGTGGCTTCCTGGAAACCTTTGTTTCTCTGTTGACCTTGCCCTCTCTCAGCAGATTCAGGGTTGAGGGGTTCTTAGAATATGTGACCAGTGTTTAAGAAAATACTATAGTCCATAGGGCTGAAATGGCTGGTCAGTGGTAACTGTCAAGGGCTCTACTGGTCTTGTTCTCATCACTAATAGAGTAAGGGACTAATAGAGTGTTTCTGTGATCTGTAGTGCAGTTAAGTATTCTATTCCTTGGTCATGCTTGGAGTAGATCTGAGATGGACTGGGAACCGGCGACTGCAGGATACCCTGGTTTGGCCTGGACCCAGCGTCACCAAGGATGGGAGTTCTCGTGAGGGGGCCTGGCGAGAGGTTTCCAACCATGTGTCTACAAGGGCAGAGCCTGGCCAGAAACCAACCCAGGCTTGGCATCTGGGGCATGGGAAGATCCTCAGGTCCTCTCTGGACTCTTTCTAGGACGGTCCCAGACCTTAGGCAGAATATGGCTTCTGCCCAAGCTAGGGGTCAGCCTTGTCTCTGGGAAATAGCCAGGAAGATAAATGATGTGTTTTCCAGAGAAGTCAGGAGAACTGGAGGTGGGCATGCTGGGGAGGGAGAGTGAGAGTCATCTGGGGGCACCTAGAGGCTCTTCTTTCCTGGGATGTCATTGGGGAGAGGACCTCTAAGACATTCTGCACGATGTCATGGGAGACCTCCATGTAATGTCACAGGGTCAGATCATAAAGTCATTCTATGTCAGCAAGGGCACACCTCCATGGCATTCCACAGGGTACCACAGGGGAATGAAGTGGAGTCACGGGTCCCCACGGCATTCCATGAGCTCTCTTTAAAGGTGGGCTTCATCACACTACCTGTAATAACATTAGAATGCATCAGCAAGTCATTTTAGGTGGTGTCATTAGGCCTACCAGAATTTTGCATCTTCTGTGATACCACTGTGGGCTAGGTCACCATGGCATTCAGCATGATATTACTGGGGGCTGGTCCAGCGGAATTTGGCACCGTGTGTGACGTCACTGGGACTGAAGTCTGAGTTGCCATGACATCTTAAGTAACATGCCTGGGGGCAAGGCTTTTGTGACATTCTGCAAAGCCTCCATGAGGACACAGTGGGCTAAATCTCCAGCCCCTAACTTTCTGTGAGGTCACTGGGGTTCAGGATTTGAGGACTGGCTCCCACCCCTGTACCCCATCTGGAAGTATGAAGCAACCAAGTGCCACCCTACTTCCCAGCCAATCTTGCCCTTGTCTGTGGATCCTCCTACTCCCTCTCCAGGCAAGGCTAAGGGCTCTGTGCCCACATTCAGCGGGATCACTCAGCACTTGCACTCTGATGTAGTAAACACGTAGGTGCATTTCTCCTGCTCGCTGTCCCAGAAGTGTCCCTGAGATGGTGTTAAGCCTTACCTCCCACATCTTCCCTCCCTCCTAGCTCTTAGAATGTGCTCTACAAGTGTGCTGGCTGAAGGTGTTAGAGTAGGCTTGCTGACTTAACAAACAGCCCCTAAGTCTCAATGGCTTAGCACAAGGAAAGTCTTCTCACACTTGCGCAAGGTACAGTCTTCTCCAAGCAGTGATTTCCAAGATCTGTTTGGTGGTTCCACAGTCCTCCTCTGGGTCCTCTGCATCCAGTCAGTTGACAAGCAGAGAGCACCAAGGATCAAGGACTAGTACTAGGGACATACCCAGAAGTGGCATGTACCAGATTGCACTGGTCAGAGTCATTAGGTACAAGTGCTGAGAAATGTGAGGTGCCAGAAAGAAGCATGGGGCTGGAAACACCCACTACTGGTCACAGGGATTGAAAAACACAGAACAAACCTCTCTCTCCCCTGAGGACCTTCTTCTATCAGCTCACATCCCTTCTCCCATCTTCTCAGATCACGCCGGGCAGCAAGGCAGCCCAGTCTCAGCTCAGCCAAGGCGACCTCGTGGTGGCTATTGATGGTGTCAACACAGACACCATGACCCACCTGGAAGCCCAGAACAAGATCAAGTCCGCCAGCTACAACCTGAGCCTCACGCTGCAGAAGTAAGTGGTAGCTCTCTGGGAGGGCTTTAAGGGCCTCTGGGGGCCAAGGGAGAGACTGTCCAGCAACAATCACGTGAGCCAGCCCTAGGCTAAAGGAAGGTAAGAAGCAAGCCCAAGACTTTGTCATTACTGCCTCACTTTACCAATGAGACTCAGACAGGATGAGCAAGGGGCTGTGAGGGGCTAAGTTTTCAGACTCCAAAGACCATATTCTGCCTTGCACTATAACCCCAAGCAACCTACCAAGAAGGTAGCAAAGGCCCATGGGTGCAGATCAAAGGACTCCAGGGCACTGCGTTCTCCATCATGGCTGGGCTCAGTACCTTCCAGGGAGGACCCTGGCTGTGGACAGTGAGCCCTAGGCCCTCTGATCTTATTGCCCGGGTCTCACTTGTGTCCCTCACCAGCCCTGCCCAGATAGGGGACATCCTGGCCCCAGGACCCACTGTCCTCACTTGGTCATCTTTCTGGCTTCTCCAGGTCAAAGCGTCCCATTCCCGTCTCCACGACAGCACCCCCGATCCAGTCTTCTCTGCCAGTGATTCCCCACCAGAAGGTAGGTGCTGACAGCTGGGTCACTCTTAGCTGTGTTCTTAGTCCAGCCCCTTGGTCAGTCCATCCGGGGTGAGGATCTGGCAACTGCCCTACCTGTTTCCTGCCCCTGCCATAGCTGATCCTGGGAGGTGGGGAGGACCTTAGAGAGAAGGTGTTTGAGACAAAAAAAAAAAAAATACACACGCACACACACAAACCACTGACTATGAGGAGCGCTTGTCTGGTTTGAGGAGAAACCAGCTTGGGCACCAATGTTCACAGGAGAGCATCATCCTTGCAGCTAGGAAGGACAAGCATCCAGAAAGCTCTGCCCCTCATCTGCCTGAGGGGGCAAGGCAGGGCAGGATGGACATGGAAAGTTAGAGGCTCCAGATTGAACTAGCCAACCCAGGGGGGGTCCCCGGTGTGAGGGAACCTGCTAACCCAGAGTTTCTCCTCCACCACGGCGTTTCTCACCTGCTCCTTCATGTCCCTTGCCCTGGCCCCAGCAAGGCCACATCCAGTGCTCATCCTCCTGGCCCCCATCAGCAGTGCTGATGAAGCCACAGAAGCAGCCACAGGGGAGGAGACAGAGTCCCGGCCCCCAGGCCTCACCACCACATCCAAGCTCATCCCTGCTCTGGCCAAGCATCCCAAGCCTGCAGGCCCAAAGGACCTAACCCATGCATGGTGTGTCCCCCGACAGCCCCTGCCTATGTGACCTCAGTTGGACTTTAGCTTTCAGTGGGGTAGGATTGGGCTGTGAGTAAATGGAGAGATGAATCGCACCACCCCATGACCCTCACTCCCACATTTCTCTGACCCCATAGGTAGGCTTAGCTTGGCTTTCTCTGCAGGGCTTTGCTTTTTGCCCAGGTGGATACCAGCCTATACGCCCAGAAGCTGCCCTCACTCTTCTCTACAAAGCCCTCCTCTTCCAGGTGCCCGTGTAGCCCTGTCAGCTCTGTGCAGGGGCTCCAGACTGCAGGGCGGGTGGCTGCTGGGCGTTCACACTAACACCTCTGTTTCAGGTATCCATATCTGTAACACTGTCTTCTCTCTCCCCTGCATGGTGCTGCCCTGTGCCAGGACCCTGCTCTGGATATGAACGGCAGCCTGGTGGTGCCCAGCCCCAGCCCTGAGGCACAAGCCAGCCCAGTCATCCCTGGTACAACGGAGCTCAGGCAGAACTTGAGTTCCTCCTTCTCCCAGACCTCCGTCTTCTCCCACTCAGAGACCTCTGACCCCTCCCCTCCACGGGGCAGCCTGGGAGCCAAGACCAGCCCAGAGGGTACAAAAGTCCCAGTGGGCTCGAGACAGCCCAGGCAGTATAACAACCCCATTGGCCTGTACTCGGCAGAGACCCTGAAAGAGATGGCTCAGATGTATCAGCTGAGCCTCCGAGGGAAGGCCTTGGGTGCTGGACTCCCAGGAGGGTAGGTAACGGGCATGCAACTCTACTCGTGGCAACCTGAGTCCTCGGTGCTCAGCAGAGGCCTGGTCTGAGGGTCAGGGCCAGTATCTGGCCTGATCCAGTCACCCCCAAGCCCATGAGAGCAATGAAAGCCCAGGTCCCTTCTTGGCATTGGCTGTGTGGGGACCCATCTTTGCCTTGCGCAGCTACCCTTGGGGTAACATGTCAGATTTTTCAGATGAGAAAACTGAGGCTCAGGGAAGATAAAGTTATGGCCCAGCTGTCCAGCTATTAATGGCCAAACCAGAATTTGAATGCAGGAGACTTTGACACGAAACTGACAGACTGTCCCCAAAAGCTATGGGGAAGGGAACATGCTGGTCCTTGCCCTCCTGGAACCCTAAGGAGAGAGCAGGATGGTACTAGAGTGCTAGTGGGGTGGATAATCCACAGCTGAGAGTGGTCTGAGGAGGCTACCTGCAAGAGGAGCACCTAAGCTGACCACATAGCACCAGGAGAGGATAACAGTTGGCAGAGCTGACCCCGGCCAGGGTGGGGCAGCAGAGAAGTAGATCCCAAGAAGAACGAGGTGGTGGAGGGAAAGACACACCCTGCCATCCACTAGCTTAGGGAGTCTGTAAGCACAGACTCCGGGAGTCATGCAGGGGCTTCGGGAAAACGAGGCATGCCCCACCATAGAGTTTCATCCTGCTGTGCATAAGGTCGCTATGGGTTGGTTCCGACTTGGTGGCACCTAACAACAACAACAAATACTCTGGGCAGAGTCCTGGTGTGGCACTGTGGGATAATGCGTTGGACCACAAGGTCAGTGTGAGTGGTTCGAACCCACCAGCCGCTCCTTGGAAACCCTATACAGGGTCATTATGAGTTGGATCTGACTGGATGGCTTTAACAACAATAGCCTGGGCAATTGTATGATGATCTCTGGTTTTGAGAGGGAGAACACTGGAGCATGGTGGTTAGGGGTTCCGGTTCCTGGGTCCACGAGTCGATAAGGCAGCATGGGTAAAGCTCTGTTTCTGGCACTTGTCCGGCATCACCACTGCCAAAATTAGAACCTGGCTATGTGGCTCAAGCCCATACCCTTCCCCTCTGCCATGGCTCCAGAAGGCCACCAGGTCCCAGGTCCCCAGTTCTCCCAGCTCTTCATGTCATTCTGAGTGAAGCTGGTCACTGGCATGCCATTGCCTAAGCATCTGGGCTCCTGACTTCCTGGACTCAGGTGGCAGAGCCATGGTGTCCCCTTGGCTTCTCCAGGGTCAGAAGTCTTCTTCAGTCTTCTCCAGGCCACTAAGTTTCCAGTAAACTTGGGAGCTGGCAGAACAAAAATGGTCCCCTAAAATGAGCTGGAAGCTTGTGCTGGCCTACTCTAAGAATGGCCTTGGGAAAGGAGATCTTCCTGGGAGGATATGAGACTCACCTGCAGTGATGGTAATGTCTCCTCTTACTGAAGCCTCCTTTTGGACTGAGGGCCAGCTAAGTAGTTCAAAGTATTAGCTAACACAACTCTCAGTATCTTCAGAGCTAGGTATTAGTGCCCCCATTTTACAGCTGGGAAAGAAAAACTCAGCTTGTATAATCTGTCCAAGATCACACAGCTAGCACCTGAGTCTGCCTGACTCCACCCTGTACTGAGATAAGACCTACCATCCTGCTTGGGGAAGTCCCATGGCTCTGATGGACCCTCCTGTTGGTATGAGGGTTTCTAAAACTTGACAAGTATGTGAATTATTGCTTAACACTCAGAACAACACTTCCTTCCAAGGGAAGATGAGCGGAGGTAAGACCACAGTGGTTCTCCACCCCAAATGAAAGCTGGTTGCCACTGTCCAGGCAATATCAGCAGGTAGAGCCAACCCAGCCCAGCTCCTGGACACCTCCTTAGCTAGTTGGTACTGATCATCAGCATTGCAAGCGGCAGGGTCAACAAATTCCTATGCCCTTTCACTGTACACTTGCCCCATGCCAAGGACTTTACATTCATTTCCATTTGGCCTGCTCTGTTAGACTGGGCACTGTCGTTTTAATTTTATGAATGAGAAAACTGTGGCCGAGACAGGGGTGGGCAGGAGGACTTGCCTAGGCAGTGTCAGGATTTGAACTCTCTTCTGTCTGTCTCCAAAGGGAAGCACTTGCCCCTACATTTTCCTCTGGACAGCTTGCAATATGATTCTATTCATGACTTGTACCTTCATGGGAGGAGCTGAGAAGAACAGAGAGGGTGGAAGGGGAGCCAGGCCTGAGCCTCACTGCTCACGCCTTCTCCTCCATCCTCTGGGGGGCTGGCACTGAAGGACAGCATCCCACAGGCATTTGATGCCAGGGGCGGGTCTTGCATCTTTGACTCATCTTCCCTGAGACCTGAGTGCTGGCTCCTCTTTGATCTGCGGCTGCCACAAGCATCCTAGATGCTAAGTCCTAAGTAGAGGCTGAGCAGGAGACAGGAATCAACGCCAACCTGGCTGCTGGTTAAAAAGAACCGACTGTCCAGGGAAGAACAGAAACCGCCCCTGAGACCAACATTGCCCTCTATAGGGGCACTGGGCTGGTCAGTGCAAGAGCTGACCCTGCAGCTGTCAGCACTGGCCAAAAATGGAGACGGAATGGAAGCTTCATGCCTGCCTGGCCCTTTCCTAATATAGCTCACAGCTATTTTGAGCCTGGGAGGATGGGGGAGAATTTTATCAGCTCTGAAACAGTGGTGGGTCCAGGGCTCAACATCAGGGTCACTCACTGCAAGGCTGGCTGGGGTTGATGACTATCCTGGATCCCCAAGGTCCTGGCTGAGAAATGGCAGAGCCAGGCCAGCTGGGACTCAGGATCCCCTAGCTGAAGCCTGCAGTGAATGGGCAGATCTGGGGACAGTTTGGGGCAGAGCTGCCACCTTCCACACTCCCTATCCCTCCAGGTTCTGCCAGGGCCTCAGACATTGCCAGAATCCACTGTTGCTTGGAATTTATGTTGAAAGAAGCATGATGTAGGCAATGCTTCCCCCTAAAGGATGCTTTCTCTTAAGATTAGAGTGTGGACCTGGATCCTTGCTGTCACGTTAAACTGGGCTGCCTCTGTGTGGGCCTCTCCCCTGGCCTCTGCCACTCCTACAGTCCTGCCTCACTGTCTGCCCAGAGAGAGCGCAGCCCATACACACAACTCCTGTCCCCATTAAACAAAGAGTCAATCCAGAGTTCTGGATGCTGTCTGGCACCTGGGGCTTTGAGCCTTTCCTTAGCAGCTATAGCTAGTCCTGTGTGCATCCCAGCTTCCTCTCTGGGGTCTGCAGTCAGGTTGAGGGTGGTACATGAGTATCCATAAAGATGGACCAGAAAACCATCTCAAAAAGGGCAACACACTGCTGTGGTTGATATCTCTGACTTAAACTGAGCGTCCAGTGGCCAGGAAGACATCTGGCTCCAAGCGCTGCCCCCTCCCTCACTTCCGGTCCTCACCTAGAGCCAGTTCCAGCTGGTTCTGCCTCTACCATGGCTGTCTGAGGACGTCCCAGCGTTTTCACGGCTGGCAGGGTCTCGCTTTGATTACTCCATCTTCTTTGCTCTTTCTCTTCCCCCCAGGTGGTAGCCAACTCTCCAGCCAAGTTAGTATCCAGAAAGCATGGGTGTGCGCCCACCGGCATATCCAAGCATGTGCCCGTGTGTGCCTGATGTGGATAGTGTGAGCCCGTGTTCGCATGTGTCCATGTGTGTGTACATGTGATTGGTGTGCAGATGTGTCCCTGATGCGCCTGCATGCGGGGGAAAGCTGCCATTCTGTTGAAGGCGTTTGTGGAGGGTGAGGTCTGATGGGCCAGCCATTTCCTTCCCAATGCCCTGCTGCATCTGCTTAAGACTGCAGGCTGGCTTTGATGGGGAGTGGGTGGAGCACCATGCTGAAACCATGTTCTGGGTGCGCCTGGAGAACATTTCTGCCTGGGCAGGACCCTCCGAAGAGACTGCCATGATCTTGAGAGCCTCTAGGCAGGCGGCCACGCCTCTCTGTGGACCACACAACCAGCTCAGATTGGAACCGGGGCCCTGCTCCGAAGAAAACAAGCGGTGCAGCAGCAGAGCCCATGAAGAAGTGTCCGCTTAGAATCCCTGTGGGGGTGCCCAGTGGGATTGCTTCTCGCCTTTGGGGCGCTCTGGACTCAGCTTGGGCTTCCAGCTGCCTCTCACGCGTGGCCCAGCTCCTGTCGCCTACCCCCGCGCCCTTTTCCCCCCCAGTCCTTTCTGCTTCCCAGCTGTGTGTGGGGAGAGATCGCCCGATGCCCGACGCCCCCTGCTGTCCCTGGGCGGTAGCTCAGGCAGAGCCTGGGACTGCAGGGCGCCTGCGAGAGATGACATGGGCAGGGAAAACCTTCAAAGGGCTTTGGGCCAAGGCCAAGGAATCTTCCTGGCCAGACCAGCCTGGCCTACGGTCGGAGGGACTTGGGGAGCCCACTTGGGAGTCAGGGCCTCGGCTTTGGGAGATCTCTTACACCTACGAACAGCAGTCCTTACTTACCCAGACTTTCCATGTAACCACCTCCTGTGGTCCTTTTCTCCTTCCTCCTCCTCCCCACCCCTCCCATCCTGCTCCTCACACATCCCTACCCCCAGCGCCGACTACCAGGAACGCTTCAACCCCGGTGCCCTGAAGGACTCTGCCCTGTCGACCCACAAGCCCATTGAGGTGAAGGGGCTGGGAGGCAAGGCCACCATCATCCACGCGCAGTACAACACGCCCATCAGCATGTACTCCCAGGATGCCATCATGGACGCCATCGCTGGGCAAGCCCAGGCCCAGGGAAGTGACTTCAGTGGGTAAGCGCCTCCCCTCCTGCACCCCAGGTCACTGCCTCCCGCTTCACACCTGCAGAGGCCACTGTGAGCTACGGATCTTTAGGCAGCAGACCAGCTTTCTCTTGCTTGCCAAGGGCTTTTTGGTGCTCAGGTCCATGAAGGGGCCGCAGACCAGCTTTCTCTTGCTTGCCAAGGGCTTTTTGGTGCTCAGGTCCATGAAGGGGCCCCAGTGTGGGCAGGACCTTCCAGAATAATGGTTGTTCTGTCTTCAAAATCTATTTATTGCAAGATCAACTTTAGGAGAAGGTTAGAGAAACCTTCATGGAGAAGGCTCCACGAGGGAATTGGTTTAGAAAGGCACTTCTGAAATCCAGTTAACATAGCAAGGGATGCTCACTCTGGGTATCCCTCTCAGCCTTCTCACAGCTAAGTCTTTCTTTGGGGGAAAACTGCTGTGTTCTTCCAGGGATGAGAGCTCATTCAGATACACAATTGGGTTTACCTTCTGGGAAAGTACCTCTAGACCACCCTTGAAGTTGTTCATGGTAGTCAATTTCATTGCAGAGCTTGGGTGCACCCAAGATTGAGCCCTTCTCTCTTCCTGTGCATCTTAGGCAGGAGGACTTAGGACATCTTCAGTTCCAGAGATGCGCCCATTGAGAGTTGAATAGGGAGAAAGTTGGCTGAAGATTGTGGTTGAAGCTGCTGATAATGCAAATCTTAGTAGGGACATGCATATATATATGTCTTTCTCTTATTCTGTCTTCTTCCTTTGTCTCTCTTGCACACATATGCAGAGTCTCTTTTTTCTAGTTGGAAATACCATTGGTGTTGACTTTCAGGAAAGGCAGATTATTACTTTGAGCAGCATTCTGATCCCTGACTATTCCAACAACTCAAGGCAAGAAGTTCTAAAATGATATTTGTGCTTTCTTTTTTTTCTTTAAGTTAGGAAAAACGAATGTTGTAAGAGGAATGCTGTTGTTGTTACTGGTTTTGTGGTTGTGATTAAGTGCCATCGATTCGGTTTCAACTCATAGGGACCCTGTGTAGGGTTTCCGAGGATCAGCTGGTGGGTTTGAACTGCCAACATTGCTGTTAGCAAGTCCAGTGCCACACCAGGAGAAACAGAAGGGTTCAAAAGTCTCAGAGAACTCCTATGGGTCTTGGCCTTTCCAGAACCCAGTCTTTGTGGTCATTATCTGCCACAAAGGCTTCATTCAGGCTTCAGTGAGCTCTAAGGATGGAGTTTTCCTGGTTCTAAAAAGCTGGAGCCAACTCTCAGGGTGCAGTACTGATTTGGGCCACCAGAGGGCAGAAGTAGCTTGGCTGGGAGCAGTGGGTCTCAAACCTGGCTTACAGCTGCCACCCTTTGTGGAACATCAGATGTTGATTTATTTAACTCCGCCATTCAAAGCAGAAAATATGATCGTGCAAGTATGGAGAAACAACCATTAGCTCATATGTACAAAAACAAAACAACAACAACAACAAAAAAAAAAAAACAGGCCGCCTGACTAAGCCCAATAGCTAGCAGGGTGATGGTGGTGGTGGTGGCGGCGGCGTGCAGTGAAGTCGGTTCCGGCTCAGCAATCCTGCATAGGGTTTCCGAGGCTGTAAATCTTTAGGGAGCAGAAAGCCTCATCTTTCTCCCGCGGAACCGCTGGTAGTTTCAAACTGCTGACCATGAGATTAGCTGCCCGACTCGTAACCACTACGCTACTAGAGCTAGCAGGATCTCCTGTTAACATATGTCTGTCACTTGTGCCGTTGGTGTGCTCGCTCAAAAGTGGCAAGAGTCACTTGGGCGAAGTTCAGTGGAAAGCAATGGAGGAAGTGTTATCGAACTTTTTACTTACTCTGCGCCTTGGGAAAAGACGGCTATCACTTGGTTTCACCACTAGGGGCACCACCGATTTTTGGAACACAAAGCACCAGTGTCAATCCAGGCTTCCAAGGAACCTTTCTCATCCCTCTCTTCTCCTCTCCCCTGCCCTCGCTTTCCCTTCCCTCTTGTGCGGGGAAAGTAATATCCTTTCCCATTCTTTGAAACTCAGCCACGGTGGGTAAGAAGAGCCGCTTCCGATTCTACTGCTGATGTCCTCAGTTCCGTCTTCACTGACCGGTTTCTTTTTGTCTCTCTCTTCCTCCTTTATCCACCCTCACTCCTATAACTTATTTCTGATACTCACCCTGCCCTCTTGTGTGCGTGCTGCCCCTCTGCCCTCTCATGATGGACACGCATCCATTGCTGGGTTTTCCTCTGATTGGCAGGGCATCGCCACTCTCGTAAGTAGACCGCATGATGTGTCCCGTGGTCTGGTTTGGGGATGGCGCGTGGGTTTGGTGGGATATGTATGTCAGTGGCTCTGTCCACATTCTTCCTCCCACAGACACCACAACCAAATGACCTCCCCTGCAGTCTAGACAGGCAAGCCCTTGTCTTTTGAGGTTGACCCCACATACTGTTTGTACATTGACAGCATCATACAGTGATGACACTAAAGGTGTATCATGCGCTCTCTTTGGAGAGGCTCCCCAACCTTTCCTGTCTCAGTGAGGAAGCACAGAAGTCAGAATCCATACTTGGCTCTTCTTGGGTGGCAGAGGCTACTCACCAAAATCCTCATAGGAGATGAATCTATAGGAGCCAGGACCGCCCACGGGAGGTCAAAGATGAGTCTGATTTGGGGGCAGTGTACAGAGGGGACCTTGGTGGTGTGGAGATTGTGAAGTATTTCCTGTGGTGTGGAGAGCAGACTGGCAATGGCTCTAGATGGAGACCACTAACCCAGGATCACAGGCTGCAGGACACACTGCATCCTCTCTCTGTAGACAGTCTTTCTGAGAACAGCAGTCCCTTTCTCTGACTGCAGACTCTGCCCAGTGTGGTAGGAAGTAAAACCAGCCCTGTGAAGTCTCTGGGGACTCCCTTCTGCCATTGGCACTCAGGAAGGAGCCAGGGGTGTTCAAACGGGCAAATTCTAGGGAAATCGCAGCAAACATAGTCCATCTACTCTGTGGGCCTCGAAGCTCCGTGTAGTCAGGCCTGAACTAGACCCACACCTGCCGTCTCCCATGGAACAATCCATACTTCCTCTTTCAACTTCTAATGAGCCAGGAGTCGGGACCCGACGTCCTGGGGTGGCTTCTTAGCGCCCTTGTTACCCAAAGACCTCAGCAGGCCCAGCCTCTGCTTTGGAAACTATTGGGACTTTTTCGTATACCAGAAATGACCTCCACCAGAGAAATGCCATGTTCCCTGTTGTTCCCTGGGCGGCCTCCTTGACTGGACCCCAGAAGGTCTGCTGCTCTTATCTGTTTACTCCCAGACCCACCTACAGCTCTCTAGAGGGTCAGGGCAGAGCCCTCTAGGCAGTAAGGAAGTAGGGGCAAGGAAGCAGCAGCAACTTAGCCCAACTCTGTTCTTTCTTTTCCTGTGCTCCCATGGCCTACCCTAAGCCTGGCCCTGGGGAACCAATCCTGAGAACCTAGTCCATAAGAGACTAGGTCATTTCTATCCAACTCCTTGGAGAAAGGGTGAAGGACGTGGGCACTGGGGAGATACCTCTCCCAGTCAACCAGCCCTTAGGGGCACGAAGATGCAGGCATTTAGGCAAGCAGGGGTGCTGGGCAGGGTGAACATCTGGGCTGGGCCGTGTCTCCAGGCCTATTTAAGGCCCTATTGTTGTTAAGTACCATCGAATTGGTTCTGACTCATAGTGACCCTGTATAGAGTTTCTGAGGAGCAGCTGGTAGGTTTAAACAGCTGACCTTGTGATTCACAGTCCAGTGCTAATCCTACAGCACCACACCAGGAGTCCACTTAAGGTCCTGGTAGGCAGGAATGACCTTCCTGAGCCCTCTTGACTGAGGAGGACCTGAGGAAAGAACACTGGGCTGGGGGGTGCCAAGAAGCCTGGGTTCTAGCATAGCAGGGGCCTTCCAGCTGTAACTAGAGCTAGTAGCTGGCCTCTCTGGACCTCAGGCTCAGCATCTGTAGGACCACTGAGGAAGCAGTTGTTGCTGCTGTAGGCTTCGCCTCAGCCATGCTCTGAACGCTGAGAGGGGGTGGGGGACTGGCAGACTGGCTCTCTGGCACTCCCTAGCCAGTTGAATGTTGTTGTTCATTGCTGTGGAGTCCATTCCGACTCATAACAACCCTGTACAGGGTTTCCTAGGAGCAGCTGGTGGGTTTGAACCACCAACCTTGTAGGTCACAGTCCAGTGCTGATCCTACAGTGCCACACCAGGAACCCAGCCAGTTGAATGGACACAGGCAAATCTGGATCATCTACTGTCCTGAAGTTCAGACTGGGCTCAAGGGGTGTTCTAGAGTCCCTTCCAGCTCTGATCCGGTATTTGTTCATTCAGCTATGTACCAGACCCCGGGAATTTGAAGGGAAGGTCACTAGGTCTCCCTCAAAAAGCTATGTTGCTATGTAACTAAGTTATTCCCTCAAAAGGCAAAGGACAAGTAACCATCACAGTCCCCCCAAGTCAGAAACCCCCCCATGACTATCCCAGGGCTGGAATGGGCCTTATTGTTGTTGTTAAGTGCGGTCGAGTCGGTTCCAACCCATAGCGACCCAGTATAGGATTTCCAAGGAGTGACTGGTGAACTTGAACCACCGACTGTGAGGTTCAAACAACCTTGCAGTCCAGTGCTTATCCCACAGTGTCACACCAGGACTCCGGAATGGGCCTTACTGCCTTGCTTCTCACACCCCATTCCCACCAAGCCTGCCTGTTCTCACCTGAACTACAGCTGCAGGTGGAGTCACACCATTGGTACTTCCTGTTTCACTCCAACCGTGTAAGGAAGGCCAGAGTCCCCACCCAGCCTCTGCCTGCTCAGGAAGGTTGAAATCACTTCTGGAGCACCATGTCTACATCCTTCTTCAGAAAAGCTCCAGCACCACTACTGCCCTCTAGGGCCAGTGCCTAGAGTTAGCATGGGGGGTGAGAGGGCAGAAAAGATCTCAGCCTCCTGACCTTCATGAGTGTGACCGCCTAGAGCACTGAGGACCCAGGCGAGCCTCGCAGGTTCTCAGAAAGTAGCAGGGAAAGGGCATGGTGGGAGGAGAACACAGGGGCTGGGGCATTAGGGTGGTGGGCTAGGGACCCCGTTCTAGCCAAGCCCCTTCTGATGGCCTCTTTCTGCACTGCAGGAACCTTTCTGTTAAAGATCTGGCTGTGGACAGTGCCTCTCCTGTGTACCAGGCTGTGATTAAGAACCAGAACAAGCCGGAAGAGGAGGCTGATGAGTGGGCCCGCCGCTCCTCCAACCTGCAGTCTCGCTCCTTCCGCATCCTGGCCCAGATGACAGGGACAGAATTTAGTAAGTGAGAGAACCATGGGGTAAAGACAGAGCAGGAGGGGCTCTGAGGGCTCCTGGACCCTACACAATGGTCTACGGAAGCCAGAAGCCAGGCCTCCAGCCCCTAAAGATAACTACAGAGTTCCTCTAGGCCCACTTGGCGCACCCCAGGGGGAGCTGTCCAATAGCATCACCATCTGGTCTCCCCTTGGCTTCCATCATAGGCAAGCCAGCTTCCCATGCTGCTTCCAAATGCAGAGAACGCTCTGGGCTGGGATGAGAGAGCTTCCCAAGCCACATGTTGGGCTACTAGCCACTGCAGTGATTCCTCTAATGTTTCTCTGAGCCCTCCACCCAGCACTTGGGGCCCTTCTCCTCCACAGTTTATAGGGAGCGGGGGTGCTAACAGTGACCACAGAACTCCAGAGACTTTTCTTTCTTACATCCCCTATGATTCCCCCTGACTGAGCTCCTTTCTATCTGCAGTGCAAGACCCGGATGAAGAAGCTTTGCGAAGGTCAAGGTAGGTGCCTGGACTCAGGCTGAGTTCTTACCCCTCTAACACCCCCTTCATCCCCAGGCAGCCTCCCTGGTCACATGACCCATGGAAGGAGCCTCTCAAATGCATACATTTGGAAACCCCTGACTCTCAAAGGCCTCCAGCAGATACTGGCTTGGGGCGGCCATTCTGTGTCATTGAGGTGGGGACCTGCAGCTGAGTCTCTACTCCCCAGGCCCTATGTAGACCACAGGAGTGAGCACCCTGGGCTCCCCTGGTGCCGTCCTTAGCTCCGTCTGCAGGTAGGGGACAGGGCTGCTTTGGCCTCCGCTGGGCTGTCGAGAATGGGGGTACCTGTCCCTGTGAGGGCACCAGGCACATGGGGACTGCGTATGGCATGAGTGCCTGGCTTCTGGGCTCACATGACCAGCTCCACGCACTGCTTACAGCAGAGCAGCTGTTGCAAGAAAGGACAAGCCCTGAACACAAGCAGGGGCTTGCACAGGGCTAGGTGTCTCAGGAGCATGGGCTTGTGGCAGTAGCAGGTCTGAGTTACATCCAGTTCCTCACCACCTGCAGCATATAAGATACTCATGACCCCAGGTAGGAAGCAGGCACACTACCCTGGAACCCACTGGAACCAGCTAGGACCTTCCATGGCAAGAAGTGGGGTTCGGTGTGATTGTGTTGACATTTCTGGTGGCAAACATGTCTTCTGCGTGCTCTTGCAGGGAGAGTTTGCCTTGGGCCAGTGCATCCTGGGACAGCCCTTGTGTGAGGGGCTGGGCCTCAGAGGCTCTTACCCACCTTGGCCACTTGTTACCCACAGTGCAGTGGTCACTGGACCGCATGAAGAGTAGGTCTCTGGGGTCAAGTTCAAGTTGACTGATGGTTCTGATCCTTGAATCTATCTTTTTGCTGCTTGAAGTTCTGCCCGCTTCTAGACTGAGGTGCCCAAACTTCAAGTGTGGTCCTCCCAGGCCTGCTAGTGATAGAGTGTTGTCAGTAACGGTCCTCAACCCTGCAGTGCCTGCAATGTGTCTATGTAGACTCTGAAAGGAAATGGTGTTTCATTTAGCTCAGAAGTTATTCCCTGGTTATGTTTAGTGTGCCCGAGAAGGCCACACCATCCGCTCCCCCTGTGCCCAATGCCCTTCAACTGTGTCTGTGTGTGTCCCAACCTCTGACTTGAAGTGCTCCACACAGACATTGCATGAACAATGAAGATCTGGGAGAGAGCGGACGTTCCATCACACACCCACAGTAAACACCAAAATCCTCTCAGGCCCCTTCTTGTCAGGAAACCAGCCGGCTGCAGAAGCCTGCCTTTCTGGCCCACCTCGGCCTTCTGGAGTGCCTGCAGTTCTCTGTGAGGTTCCACTATCCTCCTAGGGGCATGGCCTGATTAGTTAGACACTCTGATCAGTGGGGAGGGGTGCTGGTGAAGGTAGGGTACCTTCAAAAAGTTCCTGGGGAAATTCTCTTATCTTTTCATTCCATTTTCCTGTGAACTTTGTGATGCCCACTCGTATATGTAACACAACACTTGCCCATTGATCATTTGTCCCATGTACAATTTTAGTGATATTAATTATATTAATCATGTTGTGTAACCCTCACCCTTACATAATCTTTGCCAAATTTTCCAGCACCCTAAACAGAAATTCATTGCTCCTAAAACAATGATTCCCCATTTTCCCTTCCATCATGCTCCTGGTGTGGCACTGTAGAATCAGCACTGGACTGCAAACCACAAGGTTGGCAATTCAAACCCATCAGCTGCTCCTTGGAAACCCTATACAGAGTTATTATGAGTCGGAACCATCTTGGTGGCATACATCTACCACCACCACCATAGGAAATATCTAGACTAGGCAAGGGTTGTTGTTGTTAAGTGCTGTCGAGTTGGTTCTGACTCATAGTGACCCTGTCTGGGGTTTCTGAGGCAGAAAACCTCATCTTTCTTCCACGGAGCCACTGGTAGATTCAAACTACTGACCTTGTGGTTAGCAGCCCAGCTCGTGATCCACTACACTGGTTAGATATTTCACACATGTGGAAACATGTAAAATCTGTTCTTTTGTAGGTGACTGATTTCACTCAGCAGGTTTTGAGGGCTCATCCAGGTTGTAGCATGTATTAGGAATTCATTTCTCTTTATGGCTAAGTGCATGGCTATCCCACGTTTTGTTTATCCACTGATGTATTGGTAGATGTTTATGTTGTTTCTAGCATTTGATTGTTGTTGGACAGTGACGAAATGAAAGATGGTGTACATTTGTCTACTTGTGGCACTATTATCGAATGGAATTGCTGGGTCTTATGGTAGTTCTGTTGCTTAACTTTTTGAGGACTCTCCAAATGATTTTCCATATCAATGAAACCATTTTGCATTCCTACCAGCAAGGGATAAAGGTTCCAGTTTTTCCACATCTTTGGCAATATTTGTTGTTTTCTGTCTTTTTTTGTTTTGTATTTAATCTTAGCCATCCTAATAAGAATTGGGAGTCCTGGTATAGCACTGTAGGATAAGCACTGGATTGCTAACCAAAAGGGCAACAGTTCAAACCTACCAGTTGCTCCTTGGAAACCCTATATGGGTTCACTATGAGTCAGATCCAACTCAATGGTACTTAACAACAGTAGGAGTTAGCTACAGTGAGCATTTGTCTTTATATTTCCCCTGGAATATTTGCTCTCTCCCCAAGGCATGAGTAAGAACACAAAGAACAGGTCTAAAGATGATCCCCTACTTTATCCGTGGCCTCTGTTGTCAATTATTTCAGAAGTCTCTACCCAGCTCTGGGAGTCTGTCCCCACACCAGCTTGAGAAATCCACTGCAGTTCTTGGTGTCTCTACCCTAGCTACCTTAGGGTTTAAGTTTGGGAAAATCCAGAAAGAGGTTTCAACCTGCTTCTTCCCTGAGAAAGTGGCTTCTCTCAGCTGGCACTGCATCCCATCAGCTCCACCCTCTGCGTCTCTGCCCTGAAGTACCAGCCCTGGGGTTCTCAGAAAGCCTCCACCCAGGCCTGGAGGAGCTGGCTCCCTCCTCCTCTCCCCTTTCCTGATTTTTCTTTCTAGAGAGTTGTTCGTTTCTTACGGCCATTGGTGTTTGTTACTGCTGTTGTTAAGTGCCATTGAGTCGTTTCTGACTCACAGGGACCCTGGAAAGGGTTTCCAAGGCTGTAAATCTATGTGAGAGCTGAAAGCCTCATCTTTCTCCTGGTGCGCTCAAACCACAGACCTTGTGGTTCGTTCATCCTACAGAGCCACAGTACTCTCCTTATGCCCACAGCCTCCAAAACTTGCCCACCCTCCCCATGGCCTCAGGCCCTAGATCTGAGGGGGTGGGGTTTCTCCTGCTGATGTAATGTGAGAAGTGTTTACAGACAGGTACTTTGTACCTGTAACAGGGTCGCTATGGGTCGGAATCGACTCCTAGACGGCACTTAACAACAACAACAGTAACTTTGTACCTGAGGGATACTTGCAACCTGAAGGACAGGTGTAAGTTCACAAGTTAGAAGGGTCACATGGTATAGAGAAGCTAGACTAGTTATTCTTTTCTGTGGTATTAACCTCTTCAGAACCATTGGCATAAGATCAGACAGGGCTCTGTGTGATACATTTCCCTGGGTTTTCATGGCCACTGAAGTACCACACTTTGTATGTTTGGGTACCTAATAAAGGGTAAATTAGAAAACCTTAAAAAAAAGTTAGAGGGACTCTGCAGATGTTCCCCTCACCTTCTTCCCAGCTCTGCCTCCAAGACCCACCCATGACTCAGAGTTCCAGAGCAGCCCACAGCCCTCAACCTCCTCCCCTCTCAGCCCTGGCTCCGGAAACACTGACAATGCCTAGGTGTCTGGTAGCAAGGAGCTTCCTTAGGAGGCTCCAGGCCCACCTGCCTCCAACCCAAGGCAGAGTCCAGTCTCCAGAGAGCCTGTCTTTGCAGTAGAGGCTGGGCAGAGCCTCTGAATAGCCCAGGCAACATTCATGGACTTGGTTCCCTCAGAGAAGACCCCAAGACCTTAGGACACTATCTGTCCAGCTGTCGTAAACACTAGCCTCTTGTCTGGTTTCTAGAGCCCTGGTTGCCCAGTGGTCAAAATTTTGGTCAATGGTTCAAATCTACCAGCCGCTGTGTGGGAAAATGATGTTCCCTTCCATAAAGATCTACAGTCTTGGAAACCCTATTAGGACAGTTCTCCCCTATTCTGTAGGATCACTGTGAGTCAGAGTCAACTTGATGGCAGTGGGTTTCGTGTTTGAGTTTGTCTGCTTCCACATCAGGGGCTTCCTGGGACCCGCTCTAGCGCATGCAGGTGACGCCGCTTCCATCCAAAGTGGTTGACTGGCTGGCTGGCTGTGTGCCGTTTAGTCAACTGACTCATAGCAAGCCTGGATAGGGTTTCCAAGGCTGTTCATCTTTACAGGAACAGAAAGTTTCATCTTTCTCCCACCAAGCACCTGGTGGATTCAAACTGCTGACCTTGCAGCTGGTATCCCAATGTGTAACCCACTACACTAAACCAGCATCTCAAATTTAAACCCTGCCCCAGAGCCAGGCCTGCTCACCATTGTAGACTGGCCCTCCAAGTCATAAAGTCCTGGCTTCCTGACGTCAGAGGCTGTGGTGCCACTTCTCTGGGGTTCTGCGTCCAGCAGAGGCATGTGGGCCTCACCATTTGGGCAGAACCATGCTGGAGGGCCCTAGTTTGTCACCTAGATACCATCTAGCCCCCTATCTGGTGGCTTGACTTTCTACAAGTGTAGTTCTGTGTTTACTGCGGCCCACCTGTCTACAGAACTTTGCATTTCTCCTATTCATAAGCACTAAAGGCCAGTGTTGGTTTTCTGGAAATGCCATAGAACAGTTGAAGGTGAGAATTGCATTGCACACGACACAGTAAAAACCATCCTTCTCTGTGCACAGAAACTCAACTCTATCCCAGCTCCAAATCCACATGGCCAACCCTCATATACTGCCAAAGCACAGGTCCCTCCCTTCAGCAGGACCCTC